AAGAGGCGGGGCCAGGAGCAATGAATCGACCCCTGCAACCACAAATAGGTTAGTACAAATAGGTGAGTACACACACACACACACACATCTATTTATTTATTTTATTCATTTTATGTCTTTGCAAACAGTGTACGCCCTTACTCATACTAACCTACAAATATACTGGCTTTATATATATATATAAAATATATAAAATTATATATATATATATAAAATATATTTAATATATATATTTTATTTATATATATTTTAATATATATATATATATATATATATATTATATTTTGTATGTATATTATATTATAATATTATATATATATATTTATATATATATATATTTTATATATATATATATGTATATTAATATAATATATATATATTATATATATATAATATATATATATTTTATATATATTTTATATTATATATATATATATATGTATATTTATATAATATATATTATATATATATATATATATATATATATATATTATATTATATATATATTATATATATATTATATATATATATATTGCCAGAAGGGTGCTTTACACTACAGTTTTTAAACTGCAACATTAACACCCCTCCTTCAGAGTGCAGGCACTGTACTTTTCCCCTCTCCAAGACTCAAGTCCGGCCTGCCCGGGTTTCCCCGAATCCCTTCATAAATGTTACTTTGCTCACACTCCAACAGCACGTCAAGTATTAAAAACCATTTGTCTCCATTCACTCATATCAAACACGCTCACGCATGCCTGCTGGAAGTCCAAGCCCCTCGCACACAAAACTCCTTTTCCCCCTCCCTCCAACCTTTCCTAGGCCGACCCCTACCTCGCCTTCCCTTTCCACTACAGATGATACACTTTTTGAAGCTTTCTTTTTCGCTCCATCTCTTACATGTCCGAACCACCCAACCCCCTTCCTCACCCCCTCTGGACAACATTTTGGTAATCCCCACCTCCTCCTAACTTCCAAACTACGAATTCCCCGCATTATATTCACACCCCCACATTGCCCTCAACTGACACCCACTCCCTCCCCCTTTCCCTGCTGCAACATTCATCACACACGTTTTCACCCCCATAAAAAGGCGTGGTAAAACAAACTCTCATACATTCCCCCTTTGCCCCCCAAGGACAAAGTGCTTTTCCCCCACAACTCCTAAGGCACCATCACTTTTTTCCCCCTCATCAATTCTATGTTCACCTCATCTTTCATAGCCCCTCCGCGAACGTCCATCCCAAATATCTAAATACTTCACCTCCTCCATACTCTTCCCCCCAATCTGTATCCAATTTTTCTCACCAATTTTTTTTGTTAACCTCAAAACCCTTTATTTTTCCCTGATTCCCCTTTTAATTTTTCTTTTTTTGCACACCCACCAAATTCATCCACCAATCACTGCAACTTTCTTCGAATCTCCAAGAGCACGGTCATCAGCAAAGAGCAGCTGTGAAAAAACTCCCACTTTTTGTGTGATTCTTTATCTTTTTAAACCCCCGCCCCTTGCCAAGACCCCGCATTTACTTTTCTTACAACCCCATTATAAAAATAAACAACCATGGGGCATCACAATCCTTGTCTAAGCCAAATTTTACTGGGAAAAAAAATTCCCCCTTTCCTACATACTCTAACTTACCTCACCATCCTCGTAAAAACCTTCACTGCTTTCATAACCTACCTCCCACCCATACACTTGCAACATCTGCCACATTTTTTCCCCCCCCCCCATCCACCCTGTCAACGCCTTTTCCAAATCCAATAAATGCCACCAAAAAAACCTCTTTAGCCTTATCTAAATCGTTCACTTATATTTTCAGTAAAAAACCTGGTCCAAAACCCCCTACCCTTTCCTAAAGCCTCCTTGTTTTCCCGCTATCCTATTCTCCGTTTACTCTTAATTCTTTCAATTAAACTTACCCCCACTTTTCCAGTAACTCAACAGACTTATCCCCCTATAATTTTTGCACCTCTTTTATCCCCTTTGCCTTTTTTCAAAAGGAACCATGCATGCTCTCTGCCAACCTAGGTACCTTTCCCTTTCTATACATTTATTAAAAAAATTTCACCAAACCACTCCCAAAAAATATCCCCACCTGCTTTTAAAAAATTTTCTATCTTTATCCCATCAATCCCGGCTGCCTTACCCCCTTTCATTTTACCTACTGCCTCACGAACTTCCCCCACACTCACAACTGGCTCTTCCTCACTCCTACAAGATGTTATTCCTCCTTGCCCTATACACGAAATCACAGCTTCCCTATCTTCATTAACATTTAACAATTCCTCAAAATATTCCCTCCATCTTCCCAATACCTCTAACTCTCCATTTAATAACTCTCCTCTCCTACTTTTAACTGACAAATCCATTTGTTCTCTAGGCTTTCTTAACTTGTTAATCTCACTCCAAAACTTTTTCTTATTTTCAACAAAATTTGTTGATAACATCTCACCCACTCTCTCATTTGCTCTCTTTTTACATTGCTTCACCACTCTCTTAACCTCTCTCTTTTTCTCCATATACTCTTCCCTCCTTGCATCTCTTCTACTTTGTAAAAACTTCTCATATGCTAACTTTTTCTCCCTTACTACTCTCTTTACATCATCATTCCACCAATCGCTCCTCTTCCCTCCCGCACCCACTTTCCTGTAACCACAAACTTCTGCTGAACACTCTAACGCTACATTTTTAAACCTACCCCATACCTCTTCGATCCCATTGCCTATGCTCTCATTAGCCCATCTATCCTCCAATAGCTGTTTATATCTTACCCTAACTGCCTCCTCTTTTAGTTTATAAACCTTCACCTCTCTCTTCCCTGATGCTTCTATTCTCCTTGTATCCCATCTACCTTTTACTCTCAGTGTAGCTACAACTAGAAAGTGATCTGATATATCTGTGGCCCCTCTATAAACATGTACATCCTGAAGTCTGCTCAACAGTCTTTTATCTACCAATACATAATCCAACAAACTACTGTCATTTTGCCCTACATCATATCTTGTATACTTATTTATCCTCTTTTCTTAAAATATGTATTACCTATAACTAAACCCCTTTCTATACAAAGTTCAATCAAAGGGTTCCCATTATCATTTACACCTGGCACCCCAAACTTACCTACCAAAACCCTCTCTAAAAGTTTCTCCTACTTTAGCATTCAGGTCCCCTACCACAATTATTCTCTCACTTGGTTCAAAGGCTCCTATACATTCACTTAACATCTCCCAAAATCTCTCTCTCTCCTCTGCATTCCTCTCTTCTCCAGATGCATACACGCTTATTATGACCCACTTCTCACATCCAACCTTTACTTTAATCCACATAATTCTTGAATTTACACATTCATATTCTCTTTTCTCCTTCCATAACTGATCATTTAACATTACTGCTACCCCTTCCTTTGCTCTAACTCTCTCAGATACTCCAGATTTAATCCCATTTATTTCCCCCCACTGAAACTCCCCTACCCCCTTCAGCTTTGTTTCGCTTAGGGCCAGGACATCCAACTTCTTTTCATTCATAACATCAGCAATCATCTGTTTCTTGTCATCCGCACTACATCCACGCACATTTAAGCATCCCAGTTTTATAAAGTTTTTCTTCTTCTCCTTTTTAGTAAATGTCTACAGGAGAAGGGGTTACTAGCCCATTGCTCCCGGCATTTTAGTCGCCTCATACGACACGCATGGCTTACGGAGGAAAAAATTCTTTTCCACTTCCCCATGGACAATAGAAGAAATAAAAGAAGAACAAGAGCTATTTAGAAAAGGGGAAAAACCTAGATGTATGAAATGTATATATATATATATTATATATATATATAAATATATATATATATATATATATATATATATTATATTATAATAATATATATTTTAAATATATATATTATATAGATATATATATATATATAATATATATGATATATTATTAATATATATATTATATATATATATATATATATATATATATGCATATTTTATATGCATTTTATATATAAGTATATTATTATATTTATATTTTAATTATAATATATATATATATATATATATATATATATAATATATATATATATATATGCATGTGCGTGTCTGTGAAGTGTGACCAAAGTGTAAGTAGGAGTAGCAAGATACCCCTGTTATCTAGCGTTTTTTATGAGACAAAAAAAAGAAACCAGCAATCCTACCATCATGAAAAACAGTTACAGGTTTCTGTTTCACAGTCATCTGGCAGGACGGTAGTACTTCCCTGGGTGGTTGCTGTCTACCAACCTACTACCTATATATTATATATATATGTCGGGGCCGAATAGGCAGAATTTGCGATCTTGGCTTAAATAGCACGCTCATCTTGCCATATAGGACAAGTGAAAATTTATGTATGCAATAATTTCGCCAAAATCATTCAGAACCTAACGAAAAAAATATATTTCCCCGTGTTTTTTTTAGTATTAAATTTCTGTAAACAAATCTAAAATATATTTAGTTGGGTTAGGCTAAAATAAATTTTTTCTTGTTATAATAAGGTTAGGTAAGTTTTCTAAATTCTTTTGGTGCAAAATTAAAATTTTTTACATTAACATTAATAAAAAAAAATATATCTTTAAACGTATAAGAGGAAATTTAGAAAGGACTTAATTTTTAAAAGAGTTCTTGCTAATTGACCAGTTTTACATATTCGGCACGACATATATTATATATATATATATATTAATATATATATATATATATATATATATATATATATATATATTAAATTTGTTTTTCGTGCCGAATAGGTAAAACTTGCGATTTTGGCTTAAATAGCAAAGCTCGTGTTACTGAATAAGGCAGAATTTGGCAGAGCAAAAATTAGTGTATGCAATAATTTCACAAAAATCATTAAGAACCTAATGAAAAAAAATATATTTAATTGTTTATTAAATTATTGTAAACTTATCCAAAATATATTTAATTGGATTAGGCTAAATTAAATTGTGCTTGTTATAATAAGGTCGGTGGCCCGGTGGCCTGGTGGCTAAAGCTCCCGCTTCACACACGGAGGGCCCGGGTTCGATTCCCGGCGGGTGGAAACATTTCGACACGTTTCCTTACACCTGTTGTCCTGTTCACCTAGCAGCAAATAGGTACCTGGGTGTTAGTCGACTGGTGTGGGTCGCATCCTGGGGGACAAGATTAAGGACCCCAATGGAAATAAGTTAGACAGTCCTCGATGACGCACTGACTTTCTTGGGTTATCCTGGGTGGCTAACCCTCCGGGGTTAAAAATCCGAACGAAATTTTATCTTATCTTATCTTAAGGTTAGGTAAGTTTTCTAAGGTTCTTTTGGTACAATAATAATAATTTTTACATTAACATAAATGAAAAAATATGTCTTTAAATGTATAAGAGAAAATTTTAGAGAGTACTTAATTTTAAATGAGTTCTTGCTAATTGACCAGTTTTACCTATTCAGCACGACATATATCGCGATCCAGAGGGAAAATACCTGCAGCATTCTGGGCATGCAGCTGACTGCCAGGGAGTTGGATGAAGTATCTGAGATGTAGACTCTGACATGTCATGTATGTTGTTCTACTTCCTACTGTATTTTTGTTAATATATTTTGTCTTTAAATAAAAGTTACATAGAATGTAAAATATACCGGGTGGTACCTGGAGTTTACCTGGAGAAAATATTCAAACAGCTCCAGGGAGAACCTCGGCTTCTTTCTTTTATTTATTTATTTATGTTTTTGCAAATAGTACATTGAGATTTTGTATTTACAATAGTGGGTTGCAGTACAAGGAGAACCTCTATTATGCCTGGCATTATGGGCCAACTTAACATTATTGACTTACAGACTACTTAACACTAAGAATTATGTCATAGTTGTACAGTAGAATATTAATTACATAGTTGTACAGTAGATTATTAATTATAAGTGAATCTAATTTATATAAGACAAAAGATATATTCATTTATTCAAAAATGCTTTTTGTGAAAACAATGATTCAATTATATTCCTGTCAACAATGGATAAAAGGTTCAAAGTAACTGTTGAAATTATGATGTGGGAGTACATAAGTGAGTACTATGTGTGTACTGAGTATTTAGCATTTAGTCTAGGGTGATTAAGTGGCTTTTGAGAAGAGTCTTAAATTGATTTTCAGACCGGGTTACTTTAGTATCTTCTGGTAATGAGTTCCATATTTTTGGGCCCTTTATGTGCATAGTTTTTTTACAGTGTGATATGGACACAAGGTACATGAAAAAGAGATCTGGGTCTTGTGTTATGGTCATGTGTCCTGCTAAGGTTGGTGAGGAGAAGTTTGAGTGGAGGGTTTATATTTGCATGTATTGTTCTGTGTATGTAGTAGGCACATGAATAAGTATGGATGTTCTTAATGGTGAGCAAATTCAGACTTTTAAAAATTGGTGGAGTATGCTGGCGGGAGTGGGAATTTGTTATCATTCTGACTGCTGCCTTTTGCTGGGTTATTAGAGATCTTAGGTGATTGAATGTTGTTGATCCCCATGCACAAATTCCATAGGTGAGATAAGGGTACATGAGTGAATGGTACAGTGCCAGGAGAACTGATTGTGGAACGTAGTACCTTATCTTTGATAGTATGCCTACAGTCTTGGAGATTTTCTTGGTGATTTGTTGTATGTGTCAAGGTGGATACCTAGGAATTTTCCTTCTGTGAGTCTTGTGACTGATGATCCATTTATCGTTATGTTAATCGGGTCATTTGCAGCTTTGTTTCCAAACTGAATGAAATATGTATGTTTTATCAGTATTCAGGGTAAGTTTATTAGTCATCATCCAGGCAGATATTTTCTGCCATTCGGCATTGACTGTGTTTGCTAGTATGACTGTGTTTGGGTGGGAGAAGTCGTATGTTGTGTCATCTGCAAATAATACAGGTTTGAGTAGCTGAGATGCATTCGGTAGATCATTGATGTAGATGAGAAAGAGGAGTGGTCTAAGGACACTTCCTTGTGGGACTCCTACTGTGATTGGTTGGATGGAAGAGTTTGCACCATTTGCATACACATATTGAGTTCTGTTACTAAGGTATGACTTTAGGTAGTTGGAGTGGCCTCTTGATACTATAGTGCGTTAATTTGGAGTACAGCAGTTCATGGTCGACTGTATCAAAAGCTTTACATAAAGCAATGAAAATGCCCATTATTATTATTATTATTATTATTATTATTATTTATAATCAAGGGGAAGCGCTCAGCAGGACTTTTTTCTTTTTGAGTGCGGTATATATTAGTTCTAGCATGTGTATGATGGCATCATTTGTGCTTTTATTATTCCTGAATCCAAACTGACAAGGGTTTAACATGTTGTGTGAGACAAGGCAGGAATAGATCAGTCTATGAATTAATGTTTCAAAGATTTTAGAGAGCAGTGGTAAGTTAGATATTGGTCTATAGTTATTCAAGTCAGCTTGGTCACCTCCTTTATGGATTGGAGTGACCCTCGCTATTTTGAGGATTGTTGGGAAGGTAGATGATTCAATGGATTTGTTAAATAGTGACAATACTTGAGAAGCTTTTTTGTACATAAAAGCAGGAAAGTTGTTTATTTCTCCTGCCTTATTTTTAAGGATGTTGATGAAGAGCGGGATTTCTAGTGGGTTGGTTGGAGCTAGGAATAGCGTATTTGGGTAGGTACCTATGAGGTAGTCTGATGGACGGGTGTTTGAGCTTGGTATTTTGTTCGCTAGATTTTTTCCTATGGTGGAGAAGAAAACATTAAGTCTGTTTGCTGTTTCAGTTGGTGGGAGTAAGGGTTTGTCTGATTTGTTAGTTTGATTGTTTTGTTTTTAGATAACTTTTTAGTTCTAAGAATTTCAGATAGTTTTCCAGGTTTTTTTCATATCACCTTTGATGTTTTGTAATCTATTTTCATAATACAATTTTTTCGATCTTCTTATCAGGCTGGTAAGAGTTGACGAGTAACGTTTAGACTGTTCTCTAGTTATTTGATCCATTCTATACTGTTTTTCATATTTGTGTGTTAACCCTTTGACTGTCGCAACCCCCAATCCTGAGGTGTCTCCTGGTGTCGCAAAATTTAAAAAAAATGATTTTTTTCTTATGAAATGATAGAGAATCTTCTCCCGATTGTAATGACACCAAAAAAACGAAATTTGATGGAAAACTGACGGAATTATGCTCTCGCGAAGTTAGCGACCTCGGCGCTGTTTACAAATCGGCGATTTCGCCAACTTTGAGCCCTATTTTCGGCTAATTCCATTGTTCCAGTCGCGCAAACTCATAGCTATTTCTTTAGAACTCCATTTTTTCTATCGACTGAGTACAAGAAACTGCCCATTTACCGATTTCAACTACCTAATAATGTGGTCAGAAATTTGCAATTTGGCCAATTTCACGAAAACTAGAAATATGACAATTTCAAAATAAGGTCCAGAATGAACAATGCAGACGTTCCTGGCTCTAAAATAGCATTTTCTTTGCTCATCAGTCATGTCTCCAGGCCCCTCTGATATTACTCGTGCTTTCTATTTTGAATTTTTATTCAAACAAAAAATAGAAGACTTACTATTATGCAGACTACTGCAATACTGTAATAATTGTATAAATAACATCAACCCATTCATGACTGCATATTAGAATGGCTAGTTGGACATTTATTGGACAATGGCATCATTTGTTTACTTTTGAACATTGGCAAAAATCAAACATTTCCCCAACTTTGAGCTCCATTTCGAGGTTCTTTTTATAGTAAAATCAATCAAAATCACATCTAGTTCTATAATATGTTTTCCATTCTATCAAATGAGACCAAGAAAACGAGAATACAACCATAAATACTATGCGAAAATAGACCACAAAGTCGGCATTTTAATTAAAAAAAAACGGTCGGAGTTTTTTTTTTCTCATTATGCACTGTGTGCTCCAGGATTTTTTTTATATGGTGCACACTGACCACACAGACCCATTCTCTCACGTGTTGGCCTACCAGCTTTCTCCTGCTTGATTTGAAGCCGCTAGAATTTATGAGTATATATACGTCAAACACGGTACCTCGTAAGACGTATATATACGGCCGCGACAGTCAAAGGGTTAAAGGATTTGAGGATGCTTGGTGTTAGCCAGGGATTATTCAGTCTCTTTGCTGTGATCTGTTTAGTTTTTTTGGGGCAATGTTTGTTGTAGAGGCATTGGGCTTTTTTTAGAAAATTATTTATACATTCATTCATATCTGTATATGTTTAACACCCATACTTCACTCCCACATAAGTGTTATTATTATTATAATCAAGGGGGAGCACTAAACCTGTAGGATTATGCAATGCCTGTGGGGGGGAGATGTGGAAGGTATTCAGGCTTAATTCAGGGAACTGGAGCATAGATCCAATTCCCTTGATCAAGAGCCCCTCACCAACATCAAGGAACCTCCCTTGAGGGGGAACAGTGTTGATACCACTATAATCCCATGACTTGCAGTTAGATATTTTTTATGCAATCCTAGCCCACCTTTAGTTTCTTTTCTCTATCATTACTGCATGGAACTTAAAATTTTGAGTGAAATGGGAAAATATTTTTCAGCTTTATCAGAATACAGCCTCTCCTCACTTAGCGACTTACTTGTTTCCCAACGACTCAGACTTACGACAAGCTCTCTGACTTGTATGCATACCTAAATAATGTATATTAGAGCTAATTTCTTCTCTTCTGTTTATTACAATATACTACAGTACACTACTGTATAAACGTTTAACAATACAGATGCTTCCCTACTTGCAAACATTCAAGTTACAAACATTTGGATGTACGAACAGACGTTCGGACATACGAACAGACCGTACAGTATCAGTACATTACTGATACTGTACAGTATTGTCTTTAAGTTTTCAACGAACAACGGCACAGAAACAGTAGTAACAATATTATTTTTATTAGCACACTGGCCGATTCCCACCAAGGCAGGGCGGTCCGAAAAAGAAAAACTTTCACCATCATTCATTCCATCACTGTCTTGCCAGAAGGGTGCTTTACACTACAGCAACAATAATGGTAATATTAAAAACAATAATAATTATCGTACTAGAAAAATGGCAAAATAATAACTTATGAACAATTTAAGATACGAACAGCCTTCTGGAACATAACTTGTTTGTAAGTTGCGGGGCATCTGTTTACTAAAGATGTTATAAATGATGTAAAGGTGACATTAAAATATGAAAGATGATTGACACAAACCCACTTCTTAGCGATGAATTCGTTTACCGATGTGGTCTTAGGAACGGAACTCCATCGCTAAGTTTGGAGAGGCTGTATTCTTAAACCATCTACTGTGGTTATTATTATTAATACAATCAGAACTTAGCACTAAACCCACAAGGGTCAGACAGAATCTACTGTAGTCACTACATTGCTAAAGGTTTTCCAATGCTTACTCAAGCTAGCATAGCTCAGTTGTTCTCTCTTTCACTTATATAGAGACACTTAAAAATTATTACTTATAAGTATTGGACAATAAAACAAGTTTCTTTTATCACAAGAAAGCATTTTATAACATAAATTGTACAACAAATGTTTATTATTATGATTAAGGTTATATGTACATAGTGATCAGACATTGAAATATCACACTTAGTAGTTGTCACATAATATAAATATAATTTAAGAGAGGGAAAAACAATTGCCATCGTATTCAAATTTCCTCAGTTGCTTGTGGGTAAAGAGCACAAGCAAGCAAGGATATGGATATACTCTGAGTACAAGCTAATATGTAACCATACTTTCAGAGCACAAGCAAACATACATCTGGCAGTACTCTCAGAGCACAAACCAACATGTAGCTGTACACTCGGAACCACCTAAGGTACGTCAAGCCAACGTTCTCACTTAATAGAAAGAACTTGTACAGTACAGTTCAACACTGAGCAATATTTTTTTTTTCATTTCTCAGTGCTGCCTGTATGGATCAAACACACTTCATAAAATCAACATGCTGATTTAACACTAATGAAAAAATCATCATGAATTCACAACCACATCTTATGAGTCAATGAACATCACCGGACCAAAACATCTGTGTTTCAATTTGACATTGCTCATACAAAGTAAAACTTTTCAACTTTTCATTATGGGTCCTTTAGCACTTCACCCATTTTGACCCATTCTCCACCCACCGAGTAGAACAATTATATGAAAAAAATGCCTGGTGACTATGGATTCATTGGGAAAATATTTAGGTGCAGTATAATTGTTAATTGCTTAGCAACCTTTGAAATGAATATTACTAATTTTGAAAACACTTAAGAAATCCATATTTTTATATGCCAATTTTTTACAAAAAAAAAAAAATGGCTAAACCCATCACTTATGCACCATACTGCTATACAGTATGTACACAAAAACTGTAATCCTTGTTATGATATTAGCAAAAAACATAAGTTTAAATTCACAAGGTTAAAAAAATATGCTCAACTCTTTTTTTTTTTTTTTCCCTTCTTTTTTTCCCTTTCTTTTTGTTAAGCCTAACTCTAACCCTCCCTCCATTCGTATGCTCTTTCACTTATGTCTAACCCAACTCTGTCCCTTCCTACATCATGTGCCCTTTCACCAGTGTCTAAGCTAACACTCTCCCTTCCTTCATTCATTTGTTCTCTCACTTGTCTAACACAAGTGTGAGAGTCGCCTGTGTGCTCTGTAATAAGACCCATCTCTATCACATGTCTCCTTAAGTCATGAACATAAGATAGTCAACACTGCTGGATGGAAAAGCAGCCACAAACAAATCTGTTTGTGACTTGATAAAGCCCACTGTGTGGGCAAAACATAGTCAAAAAAGGATCGCGTTATACTGCACTTGTCTTTCTTTTCCATAGAGTCGGAATTTTATAACATTTTATCTCCATCTCTGAATGCTCTTAATTTCAATGCATTTTGTAGGATACCACATACATTACAGTATTGTTAGGTAAATGGACACTTGCAACTAATATCATTTTATTGTGCAACATTTCACTTGACAAAGCTCCTGAAGAGCAAAATGTTGCCACAATAAAATGTCACATTAGCTGCATCAGGATCCATTTACCTAACATTTTGTTGGTAATTCTACCATTATTACCAGTACAGTATTGTTATTACATTTTATGGGAAACATCAGATCCCTAAGGATCATGCAACACCTGGGGAATGGGAGGTAATCTCATTTGATCCAGAATAGAAATTTGTAACTCCAATTCCATGGCTTTGAATTCTTTCACCCTCTTCAAAGTAACCTCCTTAATATAGGGATAGCATGTAGTGTAGCGTATATACTCTGTCATACCCATATCACGTTTCAGACTATTGGTACATTTTTTTTTTGTTTTTTGTTAACACATTGGCCATTTCCCTCCAAGGCAGGATGACCCAAAAATGAAGAAACACTTTCATTATCACTCACTCTATCACTGTCTTACCAGAGGCATGCCTACAGTAATATTTCCATTGAAGTTGGGATGTAATTGTCATGTTACAACAGATATTTATTCTTGGGACACAGGTTATAATCTAGGGACAATATGTTCTGCTAATATAAATTTAATTTAATATCATTTTTTTCATAAATATTCTTGTTGCTAAGTGGTTATATACTTTATATACAATGAAACCTTGGTACTGGAACAGCTCCGTACTTGAACAATTTGGTATTCAAACGCTTTGTTCAGTAAACAAATCACTCGGTAGTCGACCGTTTGCTTGGCACTCAATCAAACAAACACGACCTCCCAAAATTTCACTGTAAACTATTTCGTGTTTCTTCGCATTTTTTGGTGTTTTTTATATTATTTGTATAAATAAGTCACCATGGGGCCTAAGAGGGTTAGTGATAACCAACCAAAAAGAAAATTGATTGGGAGAAAGTCGTTCAATACTCGAACAGATCAGCACTCGAACAACCTTCTGGAACCAATTAAGTTTGAGTGCTGAGGTTCCACTGTACAGGTGTATATAGACTATAGTACTGTATATATAGGTATAGATTATACTACTGTATATATGTATATAGATTATAGTACTGTATATAAAAGAATATATAGATTGTAGTACTGTATATACAATATCTTGGTGCAAAGCAGTAGATGTGGCAAAAAAAAATAGTACCATGTAGGGGACTGAAACCCCATAATCTCCATCGGTTCATCATCATCATAATAATAATAATGCCATAACTTCAAGATAAGTCCAATAACCTCTTCCAAACAGGTTGCCATGCTTAAGTCTCTCCTATATAGAAATTTTGGAACTGCTATATTAAGTTACAACACTAGCTTTTTCTATAAAATGTTGACCTGCCTTTATCATCATCATTTTCTTTCAACACACCAGCCGTATCCCACCGAGGCGGGGTGGCCCAAAAGGAAAAATGATAGTTCCTCTTTTTCTTTCTTTCAACACACTGGCCATATCCCACTGAGGCGGGGTGGCTCAAAGAGAAAAAAGTTTCTCTTTTTAAATTTAGTAATATATACGGGAGAAGGGGTTACTAGCCCCTTGCTCCCGGCATTTTAGTCGCCTCTTACAACACGCATGGCTTACGGAGGAAGAATTCTGTTCCACTTCCCCATGGAGGTAAGAGGAAATGAACAAGAACTAGAAAAAAATAGAAGAAAACCCAGAGGGGTGTGTATATATATGCTTATACATGTATGTGAAGTGTGACCTAAGTGTAAGTAGAAGTAGCAAGACGTACCTGAAATCTTGCATGTGTATGAGACCGAACAAAAAGACACCAGCAATCCTAAGACAGTAGGATTGCTGGCGTCTTTTTATTCTGTCTCATACACCTGCCTTTATATTTGTTATAATTTATAATCTCCTTGGTTGGTAGACAGCAACCGCCCAGGGAGGTACTACCATCCTGCCAATTGTGTAAAACGGAAACCTGTAATTGTTTTATATGATGGTAGGATTGCTGGTGTCTTTTGTCTGTCTCATAAATATGCAAGATTACAGGTACATCTTGCTACTTCTACTTACACTTAGGTCACACTACACATACATGTACAAGCATATATATACATACCTCTCTGGGTTTTCTTCTATTTTCTTTCTAGTTCTTGTTACTGTCTATTTCCTCTTATCTCCATGGGGAAGTGGAACAGAATTCTTCCTCTGTTAGCCATGAGTGTTGTAAGAGGCGACTAAAATGCCGAGAGCAAGGGGCTAGTAACCCCTTCTCCTGTATATATTACTAAATTTGAAAGGGGAAACTTTCACCTTTTGGGCCACCCCACCTCGGTGGGATACGGCTGGCATGTTGAAAGAAGAATTTATAATATGTGTTTGGCTTGTACATACTTATTTTGTAATTCACTCACTTCATCTCTCTGTGATGCACTTCACAAGATGTACCTTGATGCTGGAGAAAGGCTCTTGATCAGGGAATTGGAATTACCCCTCCCCTTCCTGTCAAAACCTATTTCTCCCCATTCTTCAAGTCCTGCATGTCCCTTATGGGTTCAGTGCCTCCCCATTAATGTAACAATACTACCAAAATTAATATTCTGATAATATACTGTTAAAACATTCACAAGATACATGTATACATGTGCATTATTTTTATTGTCAGTAAAGACAGCCAAGTGTTGCAAATGTTTTATTCATCTACCATTATATTAATGGTATGTATACCATGATATTATTGGTATACATACTTGATGGTGTTGTATAACCATTAATATAATGAAGGACTGTGAAAATCATTCTGTGCTGCACACAAGAGTGGGCACAGTTTACTTCATCCATAGTAAAAAACGAAAAAGAGAGACTGGAGGTAACTGAAAAAGCAAATCAGCACAAACTATGATAATCAAAGCTGTTTTAATAGCTGAACCCAAGACTTAGACATATTTTTATTGTTATACGTATTTAGGAGGAAGTACTAATTCATAAGGGCCACACAGCTCTTGGGAATGAGAGAGACTTGGGTTCAATTCAAGGAAAGGAAAGACAGGTCCAATTCTTAGGATCAAGAGCCCCTTACCAGCATCTAGGAACCTCCCATGTCATAGACAGAATTGGCCTTTGTTTTTTAAGACTATAGTGAGGACAGTGACCCATAAAATCATCAACAGGTAAGTAAGAAGGTACAATGAAACCCCAAATATCGGCCTTAATTTGTTCCAGAAGACCGAGTGCGATTACTGAATGAAATTTTTCCCATAAGGAATAATGTAAATTAGATTAGTCTGTTTCAGACCCCCAAAAATACACTTACATAATTGTTTGAGTTGGGAGCTGTTCGAAATTTGGGGTACCACTGTACTTTCAGAGAGGAGTAAACAATAGGCATGGCAGGACATGCATGGAGGTTGATATACACATGTTTCTCACTATGACCTACCAATCTTTACAGAGTAGTGAAGGGGCCAAGTGCGAGATGACCGAGGGTGAGACTGGTGCCACTAATGCACAGACATCGAAGAACTTTCCTACAATCGACACCAATGAAGGGAGGACATCTAGAAACCCAAATAAGACTTGAAGAGCAACAGATTATCTATCAATGAAGACCAATCTACATTGCCAACTATATCATAAATGCTGGGTCACAACTGCAAAGAAATTATCCCAATTAAAATTGCCCAGTAGAAGAGGTGGTTCAAGTAAGGAATAAACCTGGGTCCACAATTTGTTCAATGATAAGGGGGAAGAAAGAGGTAAGAAACAGATTACATACCATTTATTAATTTGGGATGGATTATAATGTAGTACAGTATTTGGCATTACTGGAGCAAGAAATGTACAGTCATTATAAAAAGACATTAGGATAAGGGCATATAGTAATGGTAGAATTACCAACAAAATAGGTAAATGGATACACATGCAACTAATGTGACTTTTTATTGTGGCAACATTTTGCTCTTCAGGAGCTTTGTCAAGCAACAGCTTGACAAACTTCCTGGAGAGTGAAACAAAGATTTATAGAGCATAAGAAACATAGCCAGAGACAGGAAGAACAACAGAGTTATGTAGTCTAAGTTATCATAGACAAATGCAGAGAAAAAAGCTGAAATCAACATTTAAAACGGTTCCCCAATTTCTAGATACTGTATGAAGTCTGTGGGTTTAGCACTCCACCTCATGAATGTGATAAAAAGCCCCAATTTTCAAGTACGGATTCACTGTTTTTTCCACTGCTTTACTAATGTATAAGGATTTAGCACTTTTATGTGAATACTGTATAATAATAATAATATTTTAAGGTAAAATAAAAGGAAAATGAAGACTGGAATAAAGGATGGCAATAAACATAGGGGATCTGTAATGTCTGGATTCAGCAGCAAAGATAGTTACAGGGGACAATTGTATGAAGCTGAAAATTTGGAAAACTGTGATGAATCAATGGAGGAAAGTGGGTCAGAAACAGATACTGCAGAGATATCTTGATCTCGTGCAACACTCGTCAGTGTTTCGCTGCTGAGCAGTATAACACAGAGCTGATGATGACAGCAGCAAGTACCCTAGGGAATATCGATGTCTGAGAGATTACATTTGGTTTATAAAGAAGATCTACAAAGGAAGGAAGGGGTGGAGGCATGTAAATAAACAACTAAATTACCAATCTTCTCAGTATCTGTGATGGAGAAAGTACCGTTCCAGGAAAGGGGTTGGGTAAATTGATAGTGGCAGTAGCTGAAATGGAAGAAATGTGCTGAGGAAGGATGGATGATTCAGGAAAATACTAGGTGGAAGGGCAGAATGAACAAATAGGAAGCCTTCAGTGAAATATAAACCTATGAAATTTGTTTCTGGGCAGATATACTTTGCCAGATGTCCAATACATCAGCAGTTTTGATACTTCTAAACCAGTTAGACTGCTGTATTAGTTTACTTATGGCATGTTCAAAAGACTACCAGAGGGAACTCAGAGAAGTTGATAATAAATTTTGTGGTGTTCAGAAAGCACCACCTACCATGCATGGAATGAACAAATAACTTTACTAGAATAACTGGCAACTGAGTTGAACATGTCGTTAAACCATACTAGGAAGAGTTGTTAAATACAGCCTACAGTGTAGATTGCACATCATTGCACATCAGTGTAGTGTGTACATCATTCAGGGAAGTGGTCTGCATGTGGACAATGTGAACCCCTTCATAGAATAAATGGAATACAAGTATGTCTGGGCCAACCAAGGTCATTAGCACATGGAAAAATTGTAGTTATCTAATAGCACTCAGCAGAACTTTGTATGCATTTTTGCTGTAGACAAATAGACTAATGTTAGCAAGGACCAGAAAGACTGCTGTAGTGTTTAATGAAGTCTGCTCCATCATAAATGGTTAAATCTTTCGTCTGGCCCTTATTCTTAAACCTGGTCAGCATGAGCAGACCTAACTGGGCTATAATATATCTCTCAGATTGCATAATAACCACCTTTATTTCTACAAATACATGATAAAACTTATAGAGCATAAGGATGTTCAAACATCACATAAATAGTTTTCCGAAGGGTCCATTAAACCAGGATGTTGTTAAAAAACAACACTTACACACCCTAAACCTAATCTAGTACTGTGCACACACTTTACAGTTTTATTGCAATGGATACTGAAAATAAAGAAGTTAAAAGTATAATTTACCAGTGGATTTTGTCCATTATTATCAGTCCCTTATATTGTGGTCAGTTTTATTGAGGAATTGCAGCGATTTATTATTAAAGGATGCATGTAGCGCTGTTGTTCACTTGCACCAACAGCCTGGTTGAACAAGCAGTCAACAATGCAGTCTTGTCTCAGGTTGAGCTTGGAGAGTGGAGGACTCTTGAAACTGTTCACAGGTATTTACATGTTAACGAAATTTTAACCTTAACTAAATTTATTTTTTGTTTATATTTATTCTGTATATTTAACAGATGTTTATATTTCCTTTGATATATACATTACTGCAAGATGCTATTATACAAGTTCAATTAAACATTTACCTAAAATAAATGAAGTAGTCATTATAAATGAAATATATGTGCAGGTATTGTAAGGTATATAAGAATTAGGCAGATGTTTGTATAAATTAGGTGTCAAAGTCAACATATAATATACTATTCATATTTCTAGATTTATAAAGAATTTTTTTTTTTTTCTTTTTAGGTCACCCTGCCTCAGTGGGATAAGGCCGGTTCATTAGAAAAAAAAATCTAGATTAATCTGACCAATATACACAATGTATAGTCATTAATCAACCTGATTACTGTCAAATGTATATTTAAAATTTGGCATAAGCTAGAAGACTACATTTACCAGTTTCTCTAGTTGTAATTCTCACACTTGAATACATATATACATCACACACTTCAATAATAGAAGTACAGACCCTCAAATGTGGTTCCCTTATATCAAGACTCATCTATTATATATGCTCATTACCTTGTCATCTCTGTATTAGGACTGCAGAAGCCACATGTGGTGAAATGCTTCCTTACTAAATGTCTTGATCAATGCATAAATAACCCACACATAGGAGAGAGGAGCTTAGGACGATGTTTAGGTCTGACTTGAACCATTTACAAAGTCACAATGTGACTTTGTAAATGATCCAAGTCGGACTGAAACATCATCCTAAGCTCCTCTCTCTTATGTGCGGGTTATTTTTGTATTGTTCTAGTCACAGTATTGTGCCTTTTTGTTATTTACTGATCAATGCATATACGTCTTTTGCCTATAAGTCACGATTTTGATTGTGAATTTCACTCTATTCAATTTCAAATTAAATAATTATTGCCATTATATTCCCAAAAGCAGTATATTCATACAAGTCATTCACTTCTGTAGTCCCAATAAATATGTTTAAATGTCTGTTATCGAGAGACTTCACTTCAAGGGTCCTGGATTAGAAAATTTGTACCTCTATATTAAAAACAACCACAAAAATGATTCCATATTATTCCTACTTACATCTTGGATAACAGTAAGATTTGCAGATATATAAAATTGTGTTTCTTCATATTGCTATTCTATATATGACAGTGTCGAGTTTTACAGTAATTCGTTATTTACCTATATATATAAATATTATAAAAGTTATACAAAAATATTTCTTCAGCACTGATATAAAAGTTATTCACTTAGTCTCACAAAATAACAAGCAAGCTGAACATCAGCCAAGAAATTTCCTAAAATATGGCACATTATACTATACACCTGGGCTGGTCATGGACAGAGCTGCAGGGGCATTGACCCCTGAAACCCCCCTCCAGGTATACTCCAGGTATACACAGAAATTAAATGTGCAACTAGAAGACAATACTCTTTCTTCCCTACACTAAATAAGTACTCATACTATCTCTGATGAATAGTTTTGTCATGATAGAATTACCTGTGCAATCAATCTAAGACATACAATAGAGTAAATAAACACAAACACTAAGAATATATAGTCAGTACCGTGGCTGGAACAGTTCACATATAACTCGTGATCAGGAGAGGAATCTCATGTTTTGATCGATTCTGCCTTTTCTTTGCCTTTCCTGTCTTTTGACATTCCTCTTTCTTACTTTTTTTCTCTTTTCCTAGCTTGGGCTATTTGGCCTGCTGCAGTTGTTCTCCTTTGAGAGGCAGAGTGTAGTTTACTCTTGTTACTTTATCACTAGTCCTGCCCAGGGTGCATCTCATCCCCTGTAGTGCTCCTCTTGTTCTTTTGTTCAACTAATCCTTTTACTACTACTACTACTACCATTACTTCTGTATGACCCTAGTGGGTTTAGCGCTTAGTTATGATTGTAATAAGAATAACTGTAATACTACCATTACTATTACGACTACCAGCAGTACTACTTCCCTACTACTACCACCTCCCCACATAGTTGTCTGGCCTCTACTTTTTTGCCAGCAGTTGTAACTTTAAAATGGTCCAGGATCACCAAAACATCACCAAGTTCCTCTTCTAAGTATGACTTATTTGTGAATAAACATGCATTTAGCTTTTCAGTAACTTACAGGCTATACTGTATACACTAACCTCAAGAGAGAAGGGGGTTAAAGTTAGTGAAGGGTTCTTGAGCCAATCGTCTCCCATTCCTCTGGCATTGTATTACCCCTATGGGTTGAACACTTCCCAGTGAATATAACATTTATGCTTACCATCTCACAGTTTACAAATATTTTACCAAATTGAAATAAAACAGTTATTAAAATTAAAAAGCTAAAGCAAGAGGGTTTATGTTATAAAATATAATGCAAGGCATTTTAAATAAGAGTAAATAATCACAACAATTTTTCTCATGTCGGTAATATGTATGAATGACCCATGCATATGACTATCCCCTGGGATTACTGAATAGATGGCATGATTGTAGATTCAGTTCCAGACCAACTGAGATTATTTAAACAAATGATTAAATAGAACGAAGATTTACAAATTTTAATTGTTTTAGAATATTTTTTTTTTTACACACAGTTGTAGCCCGGTACTATAATTAAACAAATCTGTAAAATAGGTCTGCCAGAGACCGTATTATTTTTGTTTTCGCAACTTATTAACTAAGTTATATTTACGTATACAGTAATTAATATGAAACGACACATCACAAGTACAATCGGTAATCTCTGAGAAAGGTAAACCCCTGTGGTTAGACTCTTGTTTGTAGACAGGGTGGTCCAAGAAGTGCATACTATAAAATACCAACAATACAGGACACCAGCCTGTTACATTCAAGCAGCTTTTTCATGCACCACCCTGTACACTGAAGGAGATCAAGGGGAGAAAATATGCTTCACAGGAGGATATTCAAGTGATGTGAACACTGGTTAATGTTAGCACTATCTGCAAATGAAACACACCCTTAATGTAGATTAACCATCTTCTATTTGGTCTGAATAGCCAGGCACAGTGTGATTGTCAAAATTACCAATAATAAAAGCCTCGGAGGGAAATGCAAAAAAATTGTCTATTAATATACATCTCAAAAACATCTTTACATCTAAAATGCACATTAAATATATATCAACAAAGTAGCTATATACAAGAGAGTGCTCTAAAAGCTATGTACTATCTATCTATTACACATCACAAGGCAGGAGTCACAACTATGGCACACTCTAGTCTGCCTTTGATCAATTTCTGCACACATCAGTTATCTGTGCATGAATATTTCACTGACTGTATTGGCAGATTTTTAAATGTATTTCTTTAATGAACATTTTTTGTATGGCAGTATTTACTGAAAATTTGCATTCATAAAAATACGCTATCTTTTTCCCAATAAATTGTCTCGCATGTATTAACAAACTTGACTAAGTGATAAATGCAACAAACAGTGTACTGATAAATCCTATAAACTTTTAATCTGCAGATCATGTTACTTACACAATAATTTATAATTATTATATGTATATATCTTCAACAACGTAGTGAGATTTAAATATGTACGTACCAGCATATGAAATGCATAATAAAAGAAACGAAAATTATCACTTCAAAGTGAGATGATCACTAACAACTTGCTAGTCAAGAAAAATAATCGCTGTGACAACCAAAGCTGAAGCACCTCAGTGAACACTGCACAGGTGATGAGTCATAGTTAAGGTTTAATCCGACGTCGAGTTAACACCTTCGTAATCTGATGTTAAGTTAACATCTTCATAATCTGATGTTGAGTTAACATCTTTGTATTCTGATGTTAACTTAACATGTTCATAATGTGATGTTAAGTTAACATCTTCATAAAATTTAAAGGTTTGGTGGGACTCTTGAGTATCTGAAGTGCAGGAAATTATATATAAAAGTGATATGAGTAAATTATTACATGGTGAATAGAATTCTATTATAAAGGTATCACACAAATTATAAAAAATTATGTTAAGGCCACACACACACATTTATGGGCTATGCATTTTTATACACTATAGACATCCCTTAATATTCACTGGAGAGGCATTCCTAGGTGTTAGTGTGGCTTCCCAGGAGAGCAGGTTGGAAGGATGGGTGGCAGACAGGCAGGGCAGGTAAGCAAGAAATAGTTCTTTCTAACTCGTCTCTGTACTGCATCGTGTGACGGAGAGAAGGAAGGAAGGAAATGAGAAGGTAGAGGTAGGGCGAGTGAAACCAGGAAGGTGGGAGGGCAGTGGAAGGCAAGCAGTGGTATCCAATACAAGCGACAGGAAAGATCTCGTTCCCCTCTCTAATGATCATGGTAATCATACGAACAGGTAGTTGAGCAGGTGAGTTAGTGGCACAAAGTTTTCTGTGGACTCCACAGCTGTCACATTAATTATGAGAGTGCAGGGACAGGAGGGTGGATGTGAGGCAAATTCTCACTACCCTCCCTAAGTGTCATGTTACTTACAAGAGAAAAAGATCAGGTAGTTGAGCAAATCTATCTATCTATCTCTATCTCTATCTCCTCCTCAGCTGTCATATTATTCACTATAAACAGAAAAGGAAGCAAGAGAAAGTAATTCTTTAATAAAACTTATAATCACTTACTCCTTAACCTGACAAGACTTCACTCAAATTAATACACCCTCTTTCCATAAGGCTTGTCCTTAAGTAGTGCTATTAAAAAAAAAAAAAAAAAAAAAAAGCCTATTTACCCATATTAGGCATGTCCTAATCATTCCCACTAATTTTTACTAACACTACCTGTTGCGGCCCCCTGCCAAACTAGCGGTTAAATAGTTAACCTGCCGGCCGGCAGTACCACTGGGTACTTCATCAAACCCAATGTGGGGACTGCTGAGCCGGCCTTAGAGCAGTAAGTTCCTGAGTGCCTCACGGTGCACATCTAAGCAGTAGGTACCTGACCACCTAAGGGTACAGTCTACTGGCTTTAGTAACAGTATGTACCTGAGCGCCTCAGGATACGCACCTAAGCAGTAGGTACCTGCACACCTAAGGGTACACGTCTACTGGCTTCAACATTAAGTACCTGAACTCCTCAGGGTACACGTCTATGCAGTAGGTACCTGACCACCGAATCGTACCTATCTACTGGCGTTAGAAGAACGCTCACCGCAGCTCACTGAGTCTGTTGGCCTCAGTTATTTGACGGCCGCATTCAGTGAGCTTGCAGTATGGTGTTTGGCTAGCGGTGTGTCAACCGCCTTTGGAGAGGATTTACTGGACTACCGGTGATGTCTGTGGACTCACCGTCTACGTTGATCAACTGTGGGCCGGAATCATCAGATGCTGTTTGGTGGGACATTACATGAAGAAAAGGTTGGAGTGTTACACTGAACTGGGCCAGGACCGTAGTGTGACACTTAGGAACGTATGATGGAGTGGAACACTGAGATATGCACAGGACCGTAGTGGAACACTGAGATGAAAAGGGTGTCGTGGGACACTGAAGATGGCCTGGTTGTAGTGTACACTGAATAGTGTCGTGTGACTGGTCTCGTGTCGTGAGAAGCAGTTGATTGTAATATATTTTAAATGTTACTTAATTTATTATTTTAGCATAGAATATATATATATATAGTGACACAGTAGTGTCAAGAGTTGTACCCTGTGTAGGGTTATGAATTATGTATTATTTTAGTAAAATGCTGATTATAATTTATTATAGTAACATGTACATATTATTATTATATCATAGTTCAAATACCTCTAGACCAAAGATAGTTGATTTTTATATATTAAAGATTAATTTATATTAATGTGTGTATTTATGTATCCCGAACTCTTTATTACAAAAGGAGTAAATCTTAACATCTCTCTCCTTCATTTAAAAATTACTTTTTTGTAATATATGAGTGGCCTGTCCGGGATGATAATGATTATCTAGAATGATTTCTGGATGGTCATATCCGGGATGACGGTTCGGGATACATATTACATTGATCTTTGTGTTTCGGTCCTTTTGTGGTGGGGGTGTTGCGGCCCCCTGCCAAACTAGCGGTTAAATAGTTAACCTGCCGGCCGGCAGTACCACTGGGTACTTCATCAAACCCAATGTGGGGACTGCTGAGCCGGCCTTAGAGCAGTAAGTTCCTGAGTGCCTCACGGTGCACATCTAAGCAGTAGGTACCTGACCATCTAAGGGTACAGTCTACTGGCTTTAGTAACAGTATGTACCTGAGCGCCTCAGGATACGCACCTAAGCAGTAGGTACCTGCACACCTAAGGGTACACGTCTACTGGCTTCAACATTAAGTACCTGAACTCCTCAGGGTACACGTCTATGCAGTAGGTACCTGACCACCGAATCGTACCTATCTACTGGCGTTAGAAGAACCGCTCACCGCAGCTCACTGAGTCTGTTGGCCTCAGTTATTTGACGGCCGCATTCAGTGAGCTTGCAGTATGGTGTTTGGCTAGCGGTGTGTCAACCGCCTTTGGAGAGGATTTACTGGACTACCGGTGATGTCTGTGGACTCACCGTCTACGTTGATCAACTGTGGGCCGGAATCATCAGATGCTGTTTGGTGGGACATTACATGAAGAAAAGGTTGGAGTGTTACACTGAACTGGGCCAGGACCGTAGTGTGACACTTAGGAACGTATGATGGAGTGGAACACTGAGATATGCACAGGACCGTAGTGGAACACTGAGATGAAAAGGGGTGTCGTGGGACACTGAAGATGGCCTGGTTGTAGTGTACACTGAATAGTGTCGTGTGACTGGTCTCGTGTCGTGAGAAGCAGTTGATTGTAATATATTTTAAATGTTACTTAATTTATTATTTTAGCATAGAGATATATATATATATAGTGACACAGTAGTGTCAAGAGTTGTACCCTGTGTAGGGTTATGAATTATGTATTATTTTAGTAAAATGCTGATTATAATTTATTATAGTAACATGTACATATTATTATTATATCATAGTTCAAATACCTCTAGACCAAAGATAGTTGATTTTTATATATTAAAGATTAATTTATATTAATGTGTGTATTTATGTATCCCGAACTCTTTATTACAAAAGGAGTAAATCTTACCATATCATCTTCTTTTAAAAATTACTTTTTTTGTAATACTACCCAAGCTATACGAGCCATTCATGATTGTGCTTTCTTAGTAAGTAAGACACATAGGAAACATTCAGGCATCTTTATTCTGAAACATTTTGCCTACACAATAGTCTTCTTCAATTGAGTACAGAAAGTAGACAGGAGCAGTAGTGATGGACTAATTACATCTTCACATCTCTACTGCTCCTGCCTACTTTCTGTATGCAACTGAAGATGCCTAAATGCTGTCTATGTGTCTTACTTACCAACTTGTCGGTATTGTATGCCATTTTGATATTCGTAGCACTTTCTTACAAGTATATTTACAATTATAATTATTTAATGCTATAATTATTTAACGCATCTCAAAGTAATGGCTTGGTAGATGGTACAGGGCAGTGTCACAATTATTTACAACTCTTTTTAATAAACAAATGCTAGTATATCCTTCCTAACTCTGATGTGAGTTTCGTCTTTTTAAGATATTTTCTGCTGCTTGTCCATAGAGGTGGTACTAAGCTAGTTAGGAATTAGTAAGGCCTAGCCTACCATGTAATTGTCTTATATCACTCATTTTAATTTCCTCTTGTCCCCTGTATTTTACTTGCATCTATCCCTTGCCCCCCCCTCTCCCTCTCTTTTTGCCCTTTCTCCCTTTTGCTCTCTTACTCACCCCTCTCACCACTAATAACCCTCAAAGGCTCCCTTTTCAAGGGCTATTCACAAAAATATTCCATCCTTCGTATACTGTAATAATAAATCATGGGAAATTGCTAAATTCATAGGGGTCATACAGTGTTGGGGGTAATAAGCATCAATCAGGCTTGATCCAATACAGGGAAAGGATACTCCAATTCCTTGGATCAAGAGTCTTTCAGCATCAAGGCACTTCCAGTTAATGGTTTGTATACCAGTAGTAGAAGCAGCAATGAATATTAAGGGATTATTGAACGAGAAAACTTAGGGAATCGTGTCTTAAAAAAAAGGGGAAGGGAGTTTATACTGTACAATACAACGTCATAAGTTCAAGATTCTTAGATGTACAGGCGATTGATATAGATGGAGAGGGAGAGGAAAAAAATTGTGTGCGTGCACTTCTAACGCCAGCTATAAATAGTAAGAGCATGACAGAAACTGTCCAATCTACCGAGAGAGCATCTTCAATACCAAATTACTGCATGTAAATAAGTTCTTGGAGTTACTTACTGAGGCAAGGGCACCTCGCATAACAAAGGCAGAAAAAGAACAGTGAATGTGGCACTGGTGACTACAAAGAAAAAACTGCTCAATTAAAAATTTCTCTTACACAATCATCAAATATATAGAGAAAATTTTAGTTTTTCTGATGATATAGCCACCAGCAACTACTGGATTTACATTAGAAACATGCACGAGTAGTGAATGATACTGCAAACATTATTTCTGTCTCCAAATATTTTTTGTTATTATTGAAAGTATTGCAATAAGATGGAGCTCATAACACACATCTCAAAAATAGCTCAGGTTTTCAGTGGTCTCTTTTAAGTTATTTTTTTATTTTTTATTAATACACTGATCGTTTTCCATGGAGGCAGGGTGACCCGAAAAAGAAGAAACACTTTCATCATCGCTCACTCCATCACTGTCTTGCCAGAGGCATGCTGGCACTACAGTTCAAGAACTACAACATATCTCCACCCCTCCATCAGTGCAGGCATTGTGTATACCAAATTTGTTTTTACTAGTTACCAGTACCACAAATACTTCCATTTTCTTTATTCTTCTCTCACTCTGAGAAGTTTCTGACAACTAAGTGATCCACAACTTATTTACCAATGCACTAAGTCTTCAACTTACGAACACATTGGGGACCTCCTGAACTGTGTATAATAATATATTATTATACACTGTGTATAATAATATATTATTATACACAGTGGTATAATATACACAATACAGAAAATTCTCAACGTGTTTGCAAGTGAAGGATTTTACTGTGCCTAATTTGGTTCTGATGACAAACTCTCAGTAATCTGAAAATCTTTGGCCCCTCTTACCCATTAATAGATGGTTTTACAAGCCTCCATGTGTCATGAGACCTTGTGATTACTTTTCTATATATATTTATATAAAAGGCTCTGAAAGCCCTACCATTTGTTGCTATGTACAAAATGATTTTGTCCTTTGAGAAAGATTAAGGGCATTTCAATGAACAGGTAAAAACTGTGTTGTACATCTCAAATATTAGTCACAGCTCTTTTATGGATGCTCTATATGCATGTAGGTATACATTTCAGCAATAATTAACTCTTGGAGTGTGTAAACAGTCGGATGTTTCAAAACCAAAACCAGTGCTTGCTCCACTAAATCCCAGACTCCATTCATTTTGCTGAAGTCTTGTTCTCTATGATTCACTTACAACAGTGAAAATTTATAATTGATAAAAATATCAAAGAAGAGCTAAAGTCTTTCTACTACAACCAAGACTAAAACGTCTCTCCACTTGGAGTAGATCTGCAGTCTGAGTAAGAACCAGGAGCCATCAGACCTATATGTGATGATTTGCTGGAAGCTGCACCCTTAGCTGACTGAATAACTCAAAATCCGGACAAAAAATATACAGAGATTTCTTCTCTACAGGTGACTCATTTCAACCTT